TTTTTCGTTGATTAAATGTTAAACATTAACAGATATTTGTCTTTTAAAACATTTCATTCTATAATAAGATAATTATTCTACAATTGTAATTATCTCAAACTAATTGCTAATTGATATAAAGCTTTTCGGTGTTCCATTGATATATTGAATGCTCGCTTTGGTTGTAAAATGATCCTGGTCGTAAAATATATTGAACGCTCCAATTTTATGAGTTTACGACTACTAATGTTCAACTCCGAAGCCTTGTAATTTCGACCCCAATCCAGAAGACAAGGGAACTCTTGGATCAAGTATTGAGAAAAATTTGCCTTCGTGGAGGACTTTTTGATGGAATTAACCCACATATGCGTTACATAGAGAGGAAGACCACGAGAGCCGCCCACGGTTAGCTGAAGGCGAAGGGACTCTAACCCATGATCCGTCTACCACTGAGGATATTTCACGTCAGCAGTGGTCGGTGCAAGCCGGATGCGGAATTCGTATCGACTGGGATTCGAACCCGGTTGCCTAAGGGTCTAATGTAGGGCGTATGGACTTCTCACTTTTCCCGGGCAATGATCAAAAGCAAAACGCCATTGACAGACCGGTTTTGTGCACAAAACGTGCCTCTCTTATGTTTATCTGTGTTATTTTCCGGCATTCCCATCGTGCGTAAGCACATCGCGCAATCAGTGTTGATCATTAAAAGACAGTTTAATTTAAATTCTATTTCTTTTTTATACCTGAAATGCAATATATTATTTTGTATATTGCTTAAATATGTCTATACATCGATTGTAATTTATTTGTTTGTTTATTGAAGTTTTAAAACTAGATATCATTAAAGTAAATATTAAGATTTGGTTTTGTTCAGTTTCGGTTTGCAGAACTTGTGTTAATAACAACCGAAGGGAAGATATTTGCGTATTCAATTAAAGTTACTAAATTAAAGTGGTTTAATGTGTTCTGTTCAAAGAAAACGCTTCGATTTTTCTCCTCGGTCAATTAAATCCAGCGTTGAGGTGGATCAGTTTCGGGAAGGAGACATACGGAAGGCGTGTTCCATTCTTCTGCCAACAAAATTATTCACTTGACCCTTTTTATAGTGTTTTATTAACGATTTGTGTCGTAACGAATTGCCTTAAAACAACTACAGTGTCGTACTGACCAATTTTCTAACGCCGTCATCTTATCTGACTCTAAAGCAGCACTTCTTGATATTAACTCTCCACTGATTCCCCAATCCATCTCCATTCAGAAATGCATCGATTGCCTGAAATACCTGACACTGAAAGGCAAGCAAATCGTCCTCCAATGGATCCCGGGACATTGCGGGATTTGGAGTAACGAAAAGGCTGATTTCTTGGCCAAGAAAGGAACAACTATTGACCAAACATCTCGTTGCTCCATCTCTCTGCAATCATTTAAATTGCTGGTCCGAAACCAATTATGGCACATGCTCTCAGAGAATTTCCGTAAAAGCAATATACACAAAACCTGGTTCAACCATATTTTAACTATCCCAAATCAGCCCAGGTATAAGGCAGTTGCTCTCTATAGACTTGAAACGGGCCATCACTGTCTGGCCAAACACCTTTTTAGAATAAACATTTTTGACTGTCCTAAATGCAAGCTCTGTCGCCTTGGGGAGGACATGGACCTGCCCCCATATTTCCGTCTGTCCTGCGTTCATCTCCACTACTGTGTGTGGACGCTACTGGGAGGCTAGGACCCGTATGGGCTAAGCCTGTCACTATGCATTCCATTATATTTATCTCATTTTGCCTTGTTTCTCTTGTTATTTTATCCTTTTTGTTCTTNGCTTTATCTTTGAAATTAAAGTTTGAATGAATGTATAACATTTTATGAACCCCCTAAGGGTTCATGGCGGGGGAGGATGTTTATGCTTAAAGTAGTTTTCAAAATGAAATATAGATGGCAGTATAAAGTCACGTGAATAGTAAATGTTAATTTTTGTTTTATGTATATGTAGTTTTAGTTCTCTATGTGTTTTGTCTCAATAAAGTTGTGTAATTAAAACCGGCATGGTAAGTGATTATTTTCCCCGAGACGAATAAAACCTTTTTTTAAGCCTTTAAACTCCTTTTAAAGTTTAATTGAATGATGAAGAAATTTTCAAGGTACACACGAACAAGCGAACAAATGATCATTTGAAGTAAAAAAATTTATATACACATATATCCCAATCGAAATGTGCCAAATCATTTCCTTTTATCCCCAAATATCTATCCTGCTAGTAAATTGCAATCAGTCAAATGTTCTTTTGTAGTAATAAAAAAGAGGAAAGATCTAAAAATAACTAATAATTTATGTAAATATTGAAGCATTGGTGTCTTTATGAATGCTTTGCTTTTAAAGAAAATAATCATATTTTGTGTTACACGTAAAGGACATCCACGAAAAAATCTTTTACATTGTGGACCGGTGATATAATTCAAAATAAATGTTCATTATAGCAAGGAAATTATTTTCATAATCAATAATTATTTTTATCATCCTTGACAGAAAGCCTTTAATCTTAGTGAATGCTGTGAAACACTCTTCTTAAATTTTTAACACTACCCAGAAATTAAAGTTACTCGCAATTTAAGTATCGGAGAAAAACAATAATTATAAAAGCTACTACAGTAACCTATTTTATGGAACAGTAAAATAAAATTTAAATAAATCAAATTTTGTGATAGAAGCAAACAAAAACTATGAAAATGTTTTTCAGATTGCTTGATGCTGATAGGATTCCATCTAAATATTCTTTGTAACAATGGAATTATTTTTTAATAATAAAAATTTTTTAGTCATCCTTGATATACCTGTATAGCCAACTGTCCTCGTCATTCACACCATTTTAATCCACTTTTACTATTTAAACACTAATTTGATGATTTTACTATTTGTAACTCGATTGTTTCCTTAATAGGCAATTTGCCCTATGATTAGTTTTTAAATTTTGTGCCTTTAATATTCTGACTAATTGAGATAACTAATTTTGTTCAAGAGTATTGTTCGCCCGCAAAGTTTACAGGCTGTTGCCATTTGACTTTTGTATCTTATGTATTTTATGCATTTTTTGTATTTTATGTTCTTTAATGTTTTTTTTACTTGGTTTTTAATAAACATTTACCCGTATGCCCTCAATTGGGGCAGGTCGGGGTAAATATTTTCATACCTGTATAGCCTATTATCTTAGTGAATGTTGTGAAACGTTCTTCGTATTTTCGTACTTTTTTGTATTTTTGTACATAACACCCTGATATCAAAGTAACTTGTAATTTAAATACAAGTGTAAAATCATATTTTGAAAGACATTTTGAATGAAAATAGTTAGAATTTACATTACTTGCAAATAAAAACCGCGAAAAAATTCTAATAACAGCCGAATTGAACGCTAATAAGATTTTATCTTAGCGACTCTTAACATTTTCTAATTTACTGTACATTATATGAAGTTTATTGCTTTGGGCAGCTAAGATAGCTTTACAAAAATTTTCCTTATTTTGCTTTAATGTTTTTTTGTAAATACTTAATTTGTGTATTTCTTTATTTCAAGCAGTTAAATTTCAGAATTATGTAAAAAAATAATTTTTAAGAATACATTAGTTTTTTTAGAAAAATTTTGAAATTTACAAATTAAAAAAAAATTGGGAAATAAAATGTGTACATCTTTGAGCTTTGCGAATTTTAGATTTCTCTGGTTCAGAAACAAAGATAGAATATTATTAATTATTATTAAACATTTCCTATATAAAAATCAAATAAAAAAAAGGAACGGATCATATACAGTTGCTATAAAGAAACAATAATCTTCAATGAAGTTTTATTTAGATACTAATCTGGCTAGAAGGCGTTGATACAGAGTACAAACTAGTGACTAGACCAGTAATGTCAAAGTTCATCGTGACGTCCGTTCGGTCGAGTGGTTGATCTTTCTCTCTTTGTATCAGTGAAGAATGGAAAGAACAGTTGATCAAAACAAATTTAGCGTTTCAATAACCACACGTCATCTGCAAGTATTCCACTAAGCATCTTTACTGTCAATAAATTTTGCTTTTTTTAAAATTTCAATTAGTTCTGATTATTAAAATTAATAAAACATCATTGAAGCAATTTTTTTACGTTATCCTATACGAAATAATACTATTCCTCTATTTATTTTTCTTATGAGCCCATTATCTACTTTTAAATTTTTATCTTAATTGACCTGAATGAAAAGTTTGTTTTCAACCTATTTTATTTCAACGAAAAATCATTCGAACAGCACTTATAACAAACAGAAGAAAAAAAAGGAATATCTCCACTCTTTTCTTGAGATTGAAGCTGATAAAACTTTTTTGCTTGTTTTCAAACTGAATCGTCAAAAAATTGTGTTGGAGCTTGATCGAAAAACTTCAAGTCTGGACATGGAACTGATCCAATGTTTAAAAACACATTAGAACCATCTACGCATGCGCGAATCGTTTTGACGTACACGCATTTCAGGAGTCTTAACCATGGATGTTGGCCTTAACCCTGGTCTCAACACAGCTCAGATCGCCGTCATAATTTTCATGAAAACTTTCGACGGTTGTTGTAGTTCATTTACGTCGCACTACATAGCTGCACAATGGGCTATTGGCGACGTACTGGGAAACATCCCTGAGGTGAGGATGATCCGAAGACATGCCACCACGATTTTGATCTTCTGCAGAGAGGACGGCACCCCCACTTCGGTAGCCCGACGACCTGCACGCGAAGTCGAGCACTTTACGGTAGAACAGTTTAACGAGGACTAATACCGCACACCCTCGGTTCTACGGTCCCACCCGCACATTGACCGCAGTCAGTGATTCTTGACTTCGGTTATCTGTTGGGAACCGTGCCTTAACGATCAATCCACTGCGGTACAAAACTTTCGACGGAGATCTGTGTTGCGGAAATCGCATGCAGCGGGAATACTCCCTAACTTAACTGTCTGCATCATTGCCTTTAATTTTCTTTGCAAAAGCTACAAGCTGATTCCGAAATAGCGCAAAATGATTTTATACTGTTCCCCATACCAGTATTTACGTTCACCTTTTGTTATTGAAGAGGTTGTATATCAGTATATCTTTCTCAGATAGAATTCTACTGAGCATTCAAATTAATTAACTATATTTTTTCCGACTAAAGTATAATACTCTGTATGTTCTATTAAATATGTATTAAGCTTTTATTTTAAATGTTTACTTTTGTTTGATACTGTTTGCATGTTTAGTTGTATACTTTTACTACGTTTAAAGGAAATAGACGGTATTTATAAAGTTTTAGAAATAAATAAGTACTTTTGCCTATGCGAAGAGTTATAGTCTTTTAAATTGTGTAATCTTTTAGTATATGAAAATAATTTTGTTGCGTAAAGTGGTTAATTTAATTTTGAAACAAAATTCAGCTAGAAAAAATGAGTTACATCTATTACTTTTATGCAATTTGACTTGATCAATTTAACAAATCAATTTTTTTATGCATGTTGATCAACAATTGGCCATCAATCGCATTCAAACATCCTGGACCTATATTTTTAGAAACTTTACATTTTAAAGAAAAATGTATTCTAACAAATTTGTAGTGCATAGAACTGTGCATAAACAGTCATGGAAAAACCTGCAGCGATAAGAAGCAAACAGGAATATTTTCATATTGTGATCTGTCCCACCAACTACAATCATCAAGGTGCCAAATGGATTATTTTAAACTTTCATTAAAAAAAAGAAAAAACATATAGCTGTTTGCCCAAAGGTTGGCTACGAGTTTGACCTATCTAGTTGGTCCCTTTATGTGATTTTCTTTAGTTTCTCTTGGGCTGCTGCCCGGAAGTTACCAAGACTTGGCACTTATTCTGGTACAGATCAAGATACAGAAATCTTTCCAATTATTTCCATTTGAAAAAAATGGGCAACTTTAATATGATTCCTACACTTTATTATATTGCACTATGCTAACCTGTTTAGATTATTTTTTAATGCAACCATGTAGCTTCTTCACTAGGTATTAATTGTTTTTTGAAATATATTTTTCTGAAGCTGATATATTTTAAGTTTAATTTTGAAAATTAGAGATAGTTATATTATTCTAAGAACTATAAGCAAGACAAATCGTGGTTATATACGATTGTTATTTGAAACGTTAATTTTTAATTTTAAAATTTCAAATTAAAATCAGAAACTCAAATGCGTGCATAAATGTGTAGTAAAATAGCCGAAGCTTTAGCTAATTATCTGGGAGCATTGAAAATGTTTTGGCTCCAGCTGTTTGTCAAAAATATTAAAACGCAATTATGCTATAAAGGTTATGGGCAGTGTTTGTATTGGAGGCAACTCGCTAATGCATGATCCCTGTAAACGATAATTACCTTGTACAGCATAAGAATATTATGTAATGATTGTTAATATTAATATCAGTGTTTTCAATACAGAGCGAGAATCTCGCATATTTTTTTCTTTTCTCGCATTGAAAAATGATTCACGCGAGAAGTTCGCACACTCTATTAATCAATTTTGAAATGCCCGAATCTCTCGAATTTCGGAAAAAATTTCTTCTGCCATTTTGAAAAAGACATGAAAACAGCTATGACACTTGTTGAGATAAAACGAGTTCTTTATAATAAGTTGTTTAAAGTTAGCTCTATTTTTAGCTGTTGATGAATTACCAAACTCCCTCATCGGCAATTTAGAGCAATTTGTAAAAGTTGAAGTCTGTGAAAACTATGCTGGAACACCTAACAAGAAGTATGAACATGGAAATAACTTATAGAATAGTTCAGCATCTGTTGCAAGGTCATTTAGCACCCAAAACCGAATTAAAACTATATGTCATAATAGATTGACTGATGAGCAACCTAATGAGAATAGCTGATGAAAAAGTAGATATAGCACATTTTCCATTTGATGATGCAGCAAAAATATCCAATAGTTTAGAAATTTGAAGCTGTTAAAAATGTATTATAATTAAAGAAATATTTTTTTTTCCAAGTCTATTAGTGTTTTTTTTATTTTTAGAAATCTCACTTAACTTTTTGAAATTTTACCCAGTTTTTAAGAAAGGGTGAGAAATTCTCTCCCATTTTTTTTCTGTGATGCAAACACTGTAATATGGTATCTAGTTTTTTTTTTCAGTTGTTATTTTTTCTTTTAGTTTTGATGGATGAATCTCCTGCTAAGCTAAGAGCCTTATACTTTCTTAATCTTCTTAGGCGTTACAAGTTGTGCATCATCTTTCCAGTACTTTCATTTACTCTGATTTATAAGGACTACACACGCACTTTGAGATATAAAGCTGAAAAGGCTAAATTAGCAAAATTGGCAATAGATTTATAAGAAACATTTGCACATTTTGTAAGTAACTATTTCAGAAAATTAAATTTTTTTTTAATCAATGGTATTAAAGGTGTGTTACAAAGATATTTTAGTGGGTTTTTTTTCCACCTTTATTTTTCAAATGTTTTTTGATCAACAAATTTGGTAGCTTTTCATTGTCAATCATGGATTGTAATTATTCATTATTCTAAAAATATTATGATTATTGTAATTATTCATAACAATTTTAAAATAAGAAATTTGATTTTTCATTTTAAAAGTATAAAAATAAGTTAAATTCAGGCAACTTATATATTTTGAAGGAAAAATTAATTTTCGCAGTTGCTGGCTCTATTGAATTTATTAGTAAACTATTGGATTTTGCCAATCTCTTCCGGTTTATTCAAAAATTTGTGTTTATCTTTAGAACAAATTAAAAATTCATTAATATTAAGCTCAAAAGTTTGATTTAGAACAGGGTGACCATAAAAGTGAGAAAACTGGAAAATGGCAGAAAATATAATAAAAAGCAAACAAAAAAGTCTGACAAAATGAATTAATTTGTGTTTGATGTACAGGTTAATAATTTTTCCTTGAAAATTAATTAGGTAATGATTTTTTCTTCTTTTTTTAAGATTTATTTTAATTCTAATTGCAAATCTAACTGTTTTGTAAAATATTTTGTGCATAAATATGACATCTCATGATATAAATGAATGATTAATAATTAAATTTAGGACAAAATCTAATTTACAAAAATCTAGAAATTCAATAAAATTAGTTTGAAAAACACAGGGAATTTCTTTTCTTAGTGTTCTTGGCCACTCCATAGAATTTTTGAGATCTTACTATTTTTAAATCTATTCAAGAATGTGACTGTGTTATACCTATCTATTAAAGTTCAAAATTTTGGATGTAACCCACTAGGTTCTTGTAATTTTGTGAGTGGGCGAATTTGGAGAAATGTTTTTCCACTAACATATTTCCATTCAATAAAGTAATTAAACTGATACTTTCATAAGGAGATTGCGATTGAAGAAGCAACTTTTTATACACTAAGGAGATTATGTAGTGAGCCTAAAAATTTTTGTTACAAAGCAAGGTTGTTAGACCCTTTTAAATCTTCACTACTGGGCTGCGTAAATAATTAATTGGATTTTTTTCAGCATTTTTTTTAGCATTTATTATTATTTTGCCACTGTATTAGGTATTTGATTATTTAAAATTGCCTAGTTTTTTTTTATTATTTTGCACTCTCTTTTTTTTTTGCAAATTTGTTTATTCAAAAATAATTCCATGTAAAATATATCTTTTAGTAAATATTTATTATTTTATTTCATAATAGTTAAAAATTTTTTTAATGGTGTGTTATACTATCTTTTATATAATTTTATGGAATGCGATTTTAAATCACAAAATGCAAGATTTGAACAAAATCTGTCTAATATTTATTATGAAATTGAATTTTAAAAATAAGACTCTTTCAAAATTTGATTTCTCTGGAACTATTCGACCAGTGTTGCTCAAATTTTGTATTTTTCCATTTACAATTGCATTCTTTAAAATGATGTAAAAATTTTTATAACTTAAAATTCAAAAATTTTTCAGTTACTATTAAATAAAGTATTAATAAATTATAAATTTACTAAAAGGTATATTTTACATGAAATTATCTTTAGCTAAACAAATTTTATAAATGTGGGCAAAGATTTTTCAATTCACTTACTAAGTTTTTGAGATAGTCAAAATGCAAAAAGTAAAAATAGCATTAAGGGGATTCAGAATTTAGACCATTCTCCTGATCAAACTATTAGGACTATCTTTTCCAGATTGCAACTATCTCTTATATTTTGGAAGTCAGAAATCCAATTCCATCGGAAAAAATGCGTTTTTTCAGAGAAAGTATGTTTTTAGTGTCTAATTTCAAAACTTGAAATATCTTTTGCACTAATTAATTAGCATATTTGAGTTCTCCCCCTTGAACCATTAAGATCGATATTTAGAACATGATGATCTGATTCATAGGGGAAAAATTATTTTGTGTGATCCTTTTTTTCGTACAGCGGTACTCCAATTCCATCAGAAAAAAGATGTTTATTCTGAGAAAGTATGTTTTTAGTGTCTAATTTCGAAACTTGAAGTATCCTTTGCACTAATTAATTAGTTTATTTGAGTTCACCCCCTTGAACCATCAAGATCAATATTTAGAACATGATGATCTGATTCGTAGGGGTGAAAAATTATTCCGTGTGGTCCTTTTTTTTGTACAACGGTACTCATGGCTTGAAGGAGATTTCACTGTAAACGCATGCGACAGCCAACCTGTTAAAGTGGGGTTTCAATAATTTCAAAGCAAAAGCACTGTAAATATATGTTTAAGAATTTGTGTTCTAGCTGTAATTTTCTGGATGAACTATTAAAATGAAAGGATAATTATATTAAAATTAAAGACAGGATCAAAAATCCAACTCTTTCGATTATTCAAACTGATTATTTTTGGAATTGCATCATTGCTCTTGGAAAATGTGATGTTCTGAACCTATGCAAATAAGAAATATTAGGGCAGGAAGCTAAAAATCAAAGACAAATAACAACAAAATGCTTTGCTTTGTTAATTTTTTTTTAGTCAGAAAATCCAAAATTTTAGGACAGCTATGTACTCTGATATTTTTAAATTTAAAGTATTATTAGTATAAAATGTATATGATATATTGTTTTAATAATATTAAAATTGTATTGATTCAATTAATTTTAAAAAAAAGTATCGTTCATGAATTGTATTCAGCTAAATGATATTAAATAAATAAAACTTAAGTATTTTATTTTTATATTACAGACAAGTATGGGGAAACATTACTCTTTAACATAGATTACTTAAGTAAAATTTAAATGTTAAGTGTTTATTTGTATGTTAAGTGGACTTGTAAAGTAATACAATGCATATTGAAAGTATTCAGTTCTTCATATTATTATTATGTTAAAGTAACACAGAGGCATATTTTTGAATTGTTATTGATAAAATTAATTGTTAATAAAATGATTTAGTTAATTTCAATTAACCTTTTGCTTATGGCTGGTACAACAAGTGGACTATATGTCATGGTATAATAGTGTACACTGTAAGCAAAGGGACCAAAGTTTAAATTATTATTTGACGTATTGTTTTTTTTTTTTTTACTTTGTTTTAAAGTAATAGAAAAAAATGCAAAAAGGCATTATTAATGTAGATTTTTCCTCTGTTCACAGTAAAATTTATCATATGTTATAATGAAATAAAGTAAATAAAAATATGACTGAAAGGAAGAAAATATGGCCATTATATACTAAATTATATACCATAAAGTGTAAACTATTCAAATCTACTGTAATAAAATAACTGTTTCTTTTAAGTGTTGCTAGAGGGCACATTGGACTAGGAGAAACTTGTAGAAAAGTGTCTTATTGACATCAGAGTGGCTTCACCTTAAGTATTAATGTTTGTTATTTAAAATCTTAGCTTTTTTGAGTTAGTTATGGATATTATTTAAAAACGAAAACATGCTTGAAGCATAATTTATTTAATTGATACAGCTCCACAGCCTCTATCTTGATTCTTTTTCATAAGATGAAATATTTTTTGTCCATTTTCTAATAGTGGGCACAAGGCAGAAATGGTTAAAAATATGAATATTTGTAGTAAAAAAAAAACAAATATTTTGGAATTTTTTTTTTTTTTTTTTTTAAAAATTAAGAAATTTTATTTTATAATTTCACTATAAATTTATTAAAGTTAAAATATTTATTTCATTGTATGTAAGGCAGACTTAAACTAACGGTAAGGTGCTAACTTTAATTGAAAAATAATATCAATAGTAAATATAGTTTTCTGAGAGTTGTCTTCTAATTTTAGAGACAAATTTGTTATTGTGATTATTAAATAGTTATTGTATTGATACTGAATTCCTTTCAACCCTTCTCCAAAAAAAGTTGTGTCTCCCTTAGGATAAATAATAATAATTTGTTATTGTTTCTGTAAATCAAACTGCAATTGTATACTGTTATTTTTTTTCTCTTTCTAGAAGTAACTAAATATGCTGCCGCAATTCATGAAACCTTATTGGTTGTTGATTTTTCCCCTTGGCGCTTTTATGTTTGGAAGGTACATAGATGATTCTGAGACTGTGAGGATGTGTGATTTTGCAAACAAGAGTAAGCTGTATGGGAAAGAACGCAAACCGGGAGATTACTGTCCTTGGGATGATATTCTTAAAAAAACTGTTCAATGATAATCATGTCTAAAATTTTTGGCTTTAGTATTGTAATCATGCAAATAAAAAGCACATAATGTAAAGAGATTGTAATTTCATTGGATTGTTTTAAATTAACCCATACATATATATTCACACTTAGAGTTTTCAAACATCCATCTAGTGGCATATTTCAGACATAGGATATGAGTTTCATTCTTCAGTGAGTGCAGAGAAGGTGATAATGAAACGTTTGTCATGTATTGTCAATAGCTATTTATGAAAAAGGCTTTGCAATTAAAAAATAGAATAATATCTTTTTTTTAAAAAAAAAAAAGAGCTTTGCTTGTGAGCTTTTAGTTAACTTTCCAGATTGTCTTGTTAAAACCTTTTTGTGAAGGTGTCAATTGTTGCACAACATTCAAACATACTTTTAAATGGTAAAAAACAAAGAAAATTTCTTAGAAAAGTGCTTTTTTTTTCATATCCTGAAATAAAGAAAAAAATAAAAAAATTTGGATTAATATTTAAGCAATTTTATGTATAATATAATCTGTGTAATAAAATGGTGATAATTAACAAATGTAGTCCTTGTTTGAAATTCACTCCTCAAAAATTCCTAGAGATGCAAAATTACTCAATAATTTTTTTTTTTTTGTTGAATAACGAGGCTTATACTCTCCATAATATGTAATAAATATTCTACCTATACATATTACATACGTACATAAATGTATACTTATAATGTAAACAATGTCTGTCAATTTGTATAATCGGTGGTTGGTTGAATTAACTACTTAATGTCATCAAATTTTAAAAATTAGAAAGATTATGATATATGACTCTGATATCATGAAATTTTATATAACATTAAAATTTCATGATATCAGAGTCAAAACTACTTGGTTACTCATTAAAGTTTGCTAAATGTGCGATAGAACCTTCAAGTAGGGAGTGGGAAATACTCCGGACAGTGTTTTAGATTTAAAAAATAAAAAAAATTGAATTACATTACTGGGTTCTTTATAATTAGTTTAATGACTTATTTTTCATCACTTTTAAACTAAGATGGGATGTGTTAGAGTGATGAAGAGTTAAGTGCAAGTTTGTGTGTGGAAGGGGGTATTTATTCCTGCCAAATAAAAAAGTGTAATTTGATTACTTTTCTGGTAAACAGCAAAGGCTTTCACTAGTATTAAGAAATCAATGAAGATAATAAATTTTTTTTATTTATAACCTTATTAAAGTTATTTTAAATTAAAATTTGCAGTGACATTAAAATATCTAATTGATAAGTAAACTTTATAAGTTTACGTAAATTTACTTTAAAGAATATGATTGTTTATTTACACCTGTGAGGTGTGTAGAATCCATCATGCAACTCTGTTTCTGCAAATCATGAGGACTCGTAAAAGATAATTTATTTAAGTCACAAGAAAATTGCATTAATCTATAATCATTAAATAAAAAAAGTACAGCTTTTAGATAATTAATTGAGTATCTGCTTAGGCACAACATATTATGCTAGTTAAAGCAAAAAAAGTACACAGCTTCTGTGAACGCTTTTCCTTAAATATTGAAATTAATTTGTATAGCTCTTGTTGTAAGTTGTCTGAGTTCCCAGATACTTGAAACTGCATACAAACCTTTGAAGCAGAATTGGTTAGAAGATGGCAATCTGTATTTGAGGCAACTATTGGAATGCTTTTTGTGTGGTTGCTGGAATCTATGTATGTCTGCGAGTTCAAACCAATGTACCTGTAATTCTGTGAAAATTCTATGTAATTTCTAATGCAAAATAGATTTTTGAATAGTGAAATGGGCCATTAAATGGAATTTGAACATACAAGTACTGATATGATCACATTAAAAGACATATTCATTATATATCTTCTATGATAACCATTTTTAAAGCTTAGTTTTTGAATAAATATTTAATTGAGCAAGGAAAAACAAGAAAAAATAGATGTAATGATTCAATACTAGAAGTGATCCGACTTAAATCAAAACTTGTTAAATTGCTGTAGGGAACAGCAGAGATTTAAAAGGTGAATAGTAGAAACATCTCCAAATTTCATCATGAAATCAAATTTTTCTAGATGTTATTTATCGTAGGTTTCTCACTAATGGTTTGGCAAATTTAGATTTTTTTTAAAAAATTATTTTGCCTAAATATTAATTAGAGACCCTTTATAATTCAATAATGGCTTTTTATTTCTAATGACTGATTAGAAGACAACTGTAGACATAAAAACAAACAAAAAAATTAGAACAAGAAACAGAGATAACAGTAACAAAACTGAAATTGCAGTAAGTCTATAAATCATTCATCTTGTGCCGAGCTCTCCAGTATTTATCTCACAAGTGTCAAAAGCAGGGCAATGATTCAAATGGTTCGCGTCTATCTCTTCACGAATATTGCACAATCGACTGAAAGGATTTTTATATGATATAAATGCTTGGAGAAGCGATCATGGCCAGTAGCAAGGCGAATCAGCAACAGATTTGTCCCTTGGCCATTTGTGATTTCCTCTATCCATTTCTTGCCTCCCTTATATTACACCAAAAGTTCTCGCTAATAGATTTCTTAATTAACCGATTGGCGGTATAGGAAGGAATTGGTTTAACCGCTATAGATTCTTAAAATACATATTGTAATAAATTTAGTTATCACTTTTTGTGTGAGAATTAATGTTTGCATATTGAGTAGGAGTTCCTTTGTCAAAAAATAAAGGAAAAAACTATTCGTAATATGAGATCCATTTGATTTCAATGAAATTTTTTTTTTATTGTTGTAAGTTTATAATACTACAAGAGGTAATCATAAAATGTTTATAAAACTTGACAACTTATGAAGTAATTATTCATAAAATTTCTAAAATGCCTAGTTTAAAGTTATTAAATTTGAAAATATATAAGGAACATTAAATGAATGGATGATGGAAGCAGATATCAGTTTATTCCTATTATCCATTCAGATCATAATTCTCAAATAATTTAATTAGGATTTTCTATATTTTGTACAGAATGAAAAATTGGCACATTAGAAGCATGAGGATAGAAAGACGATATCTTATAAACATTTCACTTCCTTACTGTTCCGTTTTTATTTAGACACTGCAGCTTTTTTTCCAACAGTATATTTTTTTTTGAAGTGACCTCCCTTTACCCGTCATAAATATTTTCTGTCTCTTGTTTTGTTTGTAACTGCAAACTTTAAAATTACACCCAGAAAGAAAGGGTCACTTTAAATTTCTAATCATTTTATTCCAAGGAAAAAAAAAAAAGCAATTCCTCTTTGAAATATTTTCCCGAACAAATAGCTCAAAATATTTTTACTTTAACCCCAAATATTTTTACTTAAGGCTCTGAAAATGATTTAAGAAAATAGTTATTGAAATGAAAAAGAGGCAATAATTGTTGCTCATAATTAAGCAGACCACATATTAGAAATTATATCCTTAATTTATAATATGTTTTATTTACCGAATTTCCTCATTTACATGATATCCCTCTATTCGTTATAAATAACATAATTTTCTTGTGTTCTTTCTCAGGTTTCATTAAAAAAAAAAAACTTTTCAATTTTTAAAAGTATTGTTGAGTCTACAATTAATAGGAATCTGCAATTTTTTATTATTAGTGCAATAAAAGTTGGTTTATTTGAATTTACACTATTTGGAATATTACCGAAATATTCATTAAAGTATTACTGACCTCAGAGGGTCTGTTTAAGGAAAGCAAAAACTGGGTTCCCTCTCTAACACATTCACTATTGATTAGTTATTCAAAGCTGGCCACCCCTTAGAAAAAACTTTGACACACCCCTTTGACAAGACCTATAAAATTTTTGGATTTTTCCAGCTATTCTTTTGATATTCGGAGACGATTGTGCTCCGAAAAAAGTCAGTATTTCTAAATTTTTGGCTAACCGTGATCTGGAAATCCAAGGTCTAGAAGTTTCAAGAAATCATCGATCAGATTTATGTATAAAAATCCTTGTATATTTTATTTAAAAAATTAGAACTAGAATTTATACTTGGTATCTCTTTCATTTGTAAATATTTTTTCTGGTAGAATAATAAATGTGATTAAAGATAAAAGTACACTTATACAAAATTATTAATTTAAATTATGCTGCATATAATTTATTTAGAATTTCATGCTGTGAAAATATCAATGATGATTCGGCTTATGATTCAAAGCGGTTCTAACATTTTGAGTTTTTGTGCATACTATATGAACTTCAACACTATATTGATGGCCCATCTAAAGTAATAAATTCTGCACTTGAATCAATTGACAAGTTTAAATTATACGCATGATTACATTCAATGAAACAACCAAAAACAGGTTTTTGTTTAAAAGTGATGAATAGTTCAGCTTACAAACAACTTATGATTTAATGAAAATACATGTAATTTGAGTTTTTCTAATACTTTCTTCGGTACTATCAGCTTTGTTTCAGTTCGGTACTTTCAGCTCATCCATGTTTGTATTAAATTTTAAAATATAATATATTTTAATAAACAGCCACATAATAAAACCTATAACTATACTAATAATTTTAATAGGTGTGTATTTATTACTTATGATGAAGTTTAAGTTTCTTTGTTTCATTGTCAGACAAAATTTAGTTTTTAAAAAAATGACGACAAAAAAGAAACACACTATATTCTTTATAATGAAATATCAACATGAACATTGTTATAACATAACATAACAAATTTCAAAAACTTGAACAAAATTGATCAATATAAAATTAAGTCTGGAAAATATTTTTCTTTGTACCATATAAAAACTTTTTAAATTTTAAAGTTACCCTAATAGGGTTATTCTGAATTGTTTTATCCTTTTTTTGTTGACTGAGTTGGCTTTTAGTATCGGTGTTTAGCCCATTTGGTATGCGAACATTAACCTTTCCACTCTGTCCGAAAGAACCTTCAATAACACCCGCTTCTCCCGTAGAAAGTGTCACTTTCAAATTGATAAAAATTTGTATATTTGTCTCTTTTTTAAAGAGGTCACGCACAATGACTTGATAATCATTCACCATCCTGTCCACAACTCCTTCTTTCATTTTTTCATTATATACTTTCAAACTGCTGAAAATTTCAGTATCTGATTTACGAGCTGATAATATTTTACCGTGGAATGCTAACCTACACAAGTTAGCATGAATATCGGTTTCGAGTCTTGAAGCAATGTATGTGCTATTTTCATTCAAAATAACCGATCTATCAAACTGCAGAAGAGCAAATATTGATTCAGCGTTCTGCTTTGTATCCTTCTCCTCAGTTAGTTTAGGTTCTATGCTATCAAGATGAACATAATTTAAATTATAATTAAAAGTATCAGCACTACAATCTGAATCACAATCTAACAGACCGAAAAATGAACATTTTGCCATTAAGGTGTCATGTAAAATGCTGACGTGGAATTTAGAATTCGTTGTACAATTTCCTTTAAAATATGGAATTTTAGCAACAGATACAATTGCTGCATCAACTGCTTCCATATATCCGGGAGCACATATCACTCCTCGTTCTAGAAGCTTTGCATCAAATTGGGTGACACATATCCCGACTCTATCACCTTGCATGGCTTTAGTAACAGGCTTTTTAAACATCTGAATACTTTTAACTTTCCTAGTTTCTTTAATTGATGGTATTTCTATGTGATCTGATACAGATACACTACCTTGAAGAATAGTACCAGTCATTATAGTACCTTGACCCTTTATAGCAAAACAGTGGTCTACGGCAAAAATAAAAGGATCCTTATCAGAACGCAAAGGAATAAATACCTTACTTCTAAGAGTATCAATGAGATTACTGATACCCAAAGCTGTTTCTGTATCATTTGGTGATGCGGCCACAGCAATTATATTAGTATCCTTAAATTTGGTTTTTTCTAGTGTCTTCATAATCTTTTTGGACATTTTTTGGATTGTTTGTTCTCTTTTATCGGCAGCAATAAGATCGATTTTGTTTAAAACAACAATCATGTGATTACAGGTTATTTCAGCTATAATCAAACACTCAGCGGTTTGAGTTTGAATACCTTTAGTGACGTCCACTACCAGCATAATCATGTCAATAATTTGCGCTCCACCAATGATTGTCCGAATAAGAGATGCATGGCCAGGACAATCCACTAGAGTAAATTGCAGTGTTTCAAGTGAAGGGTTGTCGCTTTTTATATGATCTGGCACAGGCACATTAAAAGAAGAAAATCCTAAATCTATTGTGATACCTCTTTCTCGACTTTGAGGATTTTTATCAAACGATGCTGTTGACGCAACTGTGCTTAGTGCTTTGGAAAGTGATGTCTTACCACTATCAATGTGACCAAGAATACCGACATTAAAATTAAGCACATTTCCAGACATTATAGACAATTCAGTAGTTATAAAACACAAATGAAATAGAAATCTTAAAATTAACAACTTTGTTTTCACGGAATCGGAAGAACTCTATTTAAATATGAAGAGATAAGAGCATGAAAAACTCGGTGCTCATTTGTTATTTGTTTAGATCTGATGATGACGACTAACGGTCATTTTTGAAGCTCTTTGTATTTTTTTGCTTATAGCTCGCTTATCATAGAGTGAAAGATAGATGAAGTTTTTACAGAAGATTTTATTTTATTGGCGATCGCAACGATCGAATATGCCATTTGGGGATGTTTTTCGTTAGAACTATGTTTAATGTAGTTTTTAGTTCCATATAGTCTTCCAACTTAAAATATTTTAATCGGGTCTGCTTCATTTCATCGACAATCACTTCATCGACAGGCCATTTCATCGACACCACTTCATCGACAGGCCATTTCATCGACTAGGTCATTTCGTCGACAGGCCGTTTCGTCGACAGGCCATTTCGTCGACAGGGTCATTTCGCCGACAAGTCATTTGGTCGACAGGGTCATTTCGTCGACAGGGTCATTTCGTCGNGTGTTGCCATAGGAAAAGAGTTCTGCTCTACGCCACCTGCAGCCCATTTCGATCGCCAATTGGCGATCGCAACGATCGAATACGCCATCTGGGGATGCTTTTCGTTAGAACTATGTTTAATGTAGTTTTTAGTTCCATATAGTCTTCCAACTTAAAATATTTTAATCTATATGAAAACCAAGAGAGAAACTAACATAGTTCCTTTCTCTATGACTCTCCACTCCACACGATCATGGGGAAAGCATGCGAAGTGTTGATTTGATTTGTTCATTTACGTCGCACTAGAGCTGCACAATGGGCTATTGGCGACGGTCTGGGAAGCATCCCCAAGGATGATCCGAAGACATGCCATCACAATTTTGATCCTCAGCAGAGGGAATGGCACCCCCGCTTTGGTAGCCCGACGACCTGCACGCGAAGTCGAGCACTTTACGGTAGAACAGTTTAACGAGGACCTATACCATCGGTCCCTAACCAGACTCATCCAAGTGGTCACCCAACCGCACACTGACCGCAGTCAGTGATGCTTGACTTCGGTAATTTGCTGGGAACCGTGTCCGAAGTGTTGCAATTGGTAGAGAGTTCTGATCTACGCCACCTGCAGCCCATTTCGATCGTCAATAACCGTCGTTGAACAGAAATAGTACTACTAATTCGTTATTGCCGCTAATGACACTTAATTAATTTTGGTACTACACTAAGGGTATTATGGTACTTACGGTTTTAACAAATTGCAAATATATTAATATAGGTATAATGATACCCATGTTGATATATTTGATACACATTAAAACTGTATCAATACTGTGGAAAGAGACTGTTACGGCTTCTTGATAGGGAGAACTAAAAATGAGAGTGTTTATTTTCAACTTTAAAAAAAGTACGAGATTCAATAGCAATATTCAAAATGTGGGCTTATACTTTAAAAATGTTTAGTTATTGAATCGGGAATGTCGAGTGCACATCTTAATATTTAAACTAATGCCAATTTCTCATAAAATTCACTACACAATCGAATTGCGCAGGCACATATTTTTCTTCTTTTTTTTCGAATTTTCATATCGGAGTTGAACAGTCGAACCGATTTTGAGTTTACGACTATCAAAGTTAACTCCGTAGTCTTGAACTCAACCCAGAAGACAAGGGAAGTCATAAATGTAGCATTCGGACAATAGTCGTCGAACGGGTGTAATAGGTTGCAGAGAAAATAGCTTCCTATCAACGTTAAAAAATTAATAAAGTTGTTGGGAAGTGTATTTCCTGCGGCCTTACTAAGGGTTAAGATAGACCCTGCTTATCAGATAAATCAGCGTCATTTTATCAATGTGTGTTGAACAAAATGAATATGTTTTGCAGCAAGAAAATAGTTAATTGATCTATACGATCATACATGTAATATATATTGGCCCCATAACTAGACAAAAGAGAAGACAATATATTTTTCTAAAAGTACTGTAAAAATATTTTGAGTAAAGCAAACATTTCTTATGAAATCTGTAATAATTGTGTATAACTGAAAACCTTAAAATTAAGTTTGAATAAAAACTATATTTGGTAAAATGATTTAAAACCAATGAGTTCAAAATACCAGGTGAAATTTAAAGCAGTGCTGGTTGAATTTAAGATTTGAAAACTCTGATTGGATCTCCCATTGACTTTGATTAGATTCTTCTTTGAAATATCGCTTATGATCTTAATCTTCCGATCTATACGTTGATAAAAAGAGAATTAGAATCAAATGGTACAGTTACGAATTTTTTAAATAAACCTGTAAATAAACGCTCGCCACCATAATAAGAAATAAAAGAAGTGGCGACTCAAATTAAGTAAACTCTTTTACCTCGTTTATTTATTCATTTTTTTTAAATTTTTATTTATTTTTTTAAATTGTTTAATGATAAAAGTACATCAATGAAGGACTGGGAAACAAAATTTTTCATAAAAATGTCCCTAATTCAATGTCCCTTGAATTTTCATTAAATGTTAAACTAAATTTCGTCGTATATTTATATTAGTTTTAGTGCTGAATTATCTGTTATAGCCGTAGATTATATCTAATAGGAATTTTTTTTTAAAAATATAATTTTATCTCAGCAAAAAAAAAAAGAAATTTTATATATATA